TATACCATTCTTCTAAAACCATTAAAACCACAAGTAGTTATTGTTGAAAGTTTCATGCAGGGATGCACTCTATTGTTAAAAAGTCTTCCCTCTTGTGCATGGATTTTCTTCAGTCTGCCATGATTTCCTTAATGTGAAGAAAGCAGGCATAGAAGAGGCTCTACAGATTTGTGAGCATTTACCACAGCATTGTCTAATTACTAATGTGTTTTTCTTTGAGGTTGCCCATTTCTCTGAGTTCTAGTTTTTGTTCTTTTTTTAAATTAATTTATTTGAAACAGCAAATATCTCTATTCCTCCTTTTGTGTGCATCTCTGTTTTTTTAACCCTGCTGCTTCAGTCCATTGCCATACCCTTAGCAGTTGACAGACAGTCAGATTATCCTGTCTTCTATGTAAACTCATTTTCTCAGAGCAGGTTTCAATATTGCTTCATGTTGTGGGAAGAGGTAGCATGGGAGCATGCCTCCCATTTTAGGTGTGCCTCTTGAGACTGACAGCAAGTTCCTGAGTGTTACACTGAGTGTCAAAATTGATTTACCCACTCTGTGGCAGGACCAATTCATGGGTTCTGTCCCATGTGCTAGGGCACAAAAATGGGCAGTCTGTAGGCAGACACTTTATTATCTGCTTGTCTGAGGAAGCTGCATTATGTTGTTCATTACAGCAGTGTCCAGACTGCAGTGCAGTAACAAAGTGCTCACATATATGTACATATTCCTACTCTGGCCAGACTCCCTCGATAGCCTGGTATGCTCAGTACAGATAATCTTTGCTGGAATACATCTCACTTTGCTTCATGCTTCATCTTGGAACACAGACCAACTTCTCTGACCTAATGCTGTTAATATCTTGGAGAAGCAATGGTCCATGCTGTAAACACCTAACAAACACATACATTGTCTCACTTCGTGACTTTATTTATGGCATATGCAGCTGTGAGCATCTGCTATGGATAATGTAGGGTAGAATCTTCCAGTGTGTGCATAGCCAGAAATATTCGTGGATCTGGGATAAAAAGGAACTTCTTTGATGTGTTTCTTCCTTTAAATATAGAAAATTGGCATTAAGATATATTTGTCATTTAATTGATAACAGAACATTCAGCACTGATCTCTTTAAAATAATGAGAAGAAAATATAGTTGATTTCTCTACATCTACGTTCAAAGCTAATATACATTTGCTTCTTAATTAGAAAGGGTGCAGATTTCATTAGGCTATTGAACCATAAGATACAACAGTTCAAGCTACTCTGCATTGCTTTAGGTACTACAATTCTATCATGTAAAATGAAGAAAACATAAAGCATATTATTGTGAATTCTTTGATAAAACACAGGTAGAAACAACAGGTAGAAAAAACAGGTAGAAACAACATGGCATCTGAATGATCACAGAGCTTCAATGCAGTAGATCTTGAACCGAGGAAGGGAGATCTGTAGGAATTTTAACTGTATATCATTTAAAACCAAACTGCCGACAGATGTTTTCTACAATACTTGTTAGAGGGCTTCATTATTTTTATAACCTTTTAAATTCCTCTGATTTATAGAAAACAGCCATTCAAAGTCCATAAAAGTTAATCCTAACCAAGGAATTATTTGCCTAAAGTGAAATTTCCTCTCTCTGCTCTACCCACATGGGGAACTGTTAAAGGGCAGCTGCTTGGGGCTACCTGCTGCCTGAAAGCACCAGTGCCCCAGACTGTCCACACACGGTCTGCAGGGATCCTTGCCTCAGTTTCTGAGGATCCCAAACAAAGATTTTCCGCAGAAGTAAAGCATACTGCTCCTTGGGTGCTTCCTGAAGTCAAGCCAAAACCCTTTGTCCTTGCAAAGTGTGCAACTTTGTGGTGTCAGTGATCAGCAATTTAATGCAAACCCCATTTTCTTTACCACCTTTGACAACACTGTTCATCTAAGGTTTAGCTTCACTACCAAGTTTAGATCTTCACATACCAGAGAGTTCATAGGCCAGCTTCAAAAAAAAACTCCAAAAAAACCCAAAAAACCCCCCCCATGAGAGTGCCTTTATAATGGAAAAGAGAATTACAGATTATGGATTTTTCCCCTTTACTGTCAACAATATCCAAGCAAATTTTCTTCTCACTACCAGGTCAATCACAATGACCACTTACAGCGTAAATTACAGTAGTCACTAGACAATATTTTAATTGCACAAACTTATATCTTCAATTAAGCATCATCACTAAATTTCATGGTAGTTTGGAGCATGGTAAATATTTGCTGAGAGCATGTTGTTTGCTTTTAAGTCATGATGATTAATGCAAGTTAATTGGCAATTGGAGTTGGCAATCAACTCCAATTACAGTAGGACAACATTGGAGACTCGATGCAGGGTTAGTGTCAAGACAGATTTCCTCCAAATAGATAGGATTTATGGCAGTCAAATCATGTTTTAGATTCACAGGTTTGAGGAGTAAAACTACTCTGCTTCACCGTGCAGCCTCTGTAGACTGGGATTTTTGTGTATAACTTTTATGTCAAAATTTAAACTCAGCCCAGCACACATGATTTGCAAACATACTCTGCAGCACACGACTTTGAAGTTATGCTAGCTGGATCTACCTGAGGTGTTTCAGCTCTTAGATACTATCACTTCAAGAAGTTCAGTTCCTGTCAACTCAGCAGATGTACAAACTTTTGCAGAGAAATGGTGAGAGCAGTAATCTCTCCACAGTCCACAGTGCAATGTGTGGCTTTTCTTCTGAGCAGCCTGTTGCTTGTGCAATGTCTCTTCCCATCTTTTGAACGTGCCATGAGAACATACTCCTGCCTCAGGCACTAACCACTGCTACGCCTCTGCCCTGGTTAGAGGAATTACTTCCTTCAGCAGCAGTGACTATTGTGGCTCATGCAGCAATGGGTCCCTTTTTCCATGGGGAACTTTCTTTTTGTCTTTGTCCTTAGGCACTAGAAACTTGGCCCTAGAAAATGAGATTCCAGTCCTTTTCCTACAAATTAGGAATCTGGCTCACAAGCTGACCTTCTACAACAGTGTGTCTGGAATGGAAATACAGGAGTGGAGCTATTTGGACTAGTTACCAGTTGTTGTTTACTAGAATAGTAAGAACATAATGTTTTAATATCCCAGGTCATAACTCATTATGACCTGGTTTAGATACGACCAAACATCAAAGCTAACCAATGAGAAACAGACAGTGAAGCCTTGACTCACTCACTGCACTATTCTATAGATGTGTGGAGACATACAATTATTTTTCTGAACCAAAGTTTTATTTGAAAACAAAAATGTTCACAATCTGACTTTATGGCTTTTTTTCATATTTTGGCATGGTATATTGTATTGGAAAAAAAAATGTCTTTAATTAAATGCAGCATTTTGAACACTACCCCAGACTTCATTTTTCATCTCTGGTTTTACTGTTTCTCTCCATGTCCTGTCTCCCTCACACATTTACTCCATGTGTTTAACCCCTACTTAAAACCTTTCATTGTTTCCTGCCCTGTTGTTTTGCAAGTCCTTCTCTGAGGTCTCTCTGCCTACACAACACCCTCTGAAAATTATCCATGTAGAATGTAGCTCCTCATGCCATCTCCTCTCTGTTATGGGGTCTCCTTACTGTCCCTACAAAGCAAGTGGATATGCTGCCAGGGCTGATCAGGAATTTCATAACAATCATTCTACCCAGGTCATGGGTGCTTTTCTGGTGTCATCAGTCCTTCTTGTACTAGGGAACCAGCATATTACAGGAGGAAAAGGACCTTGTTCTAGCTAAGGACATGGGCAGACATCTCATAGACATAAACTAGCTATAATTTATCAGTCCAAATTTTGGCTTTAATCTCTCTTTGCTGCACTGTTTTATCTAAAAGGTAGACAGAACAGTACTGTCTACCGCCAGTGAGCAGATGGAAGCACATTTTTGCCAGTGCCCGTGCTAAGGTCTCAAGCACTTACCTGAGACAGCAGATAGAATTACCTGTAATCCCTTGAATGTTTCATGGTAAATGAGATGCCACAATTTAACAGAAAAGTTTCATTTCCACTTGCTCTGCGCACCAGCAGTTGTGCCACTGACTGTAGTGGAAGCCTCTAGTGACTGGCTAAGTGCATACATCTCAGGTGTATGTGGTGTGTACTGCCACACTGCAGACGCATGATGGCACTTGGCATCAAATATGAAGAAATCTTGAGCAGATGACCCAACAGAGAGGCCAGGCTCCTGTGGACAAAAGTACCAGAGCCTGCAATCTGTGCCACAATGCAGGTGCTTATCTGAGGTAGGATCAAGGTCATGGAAAGTAGTTTTTAAATTGTGCCGAAACTTTCTAGAGATCCCCCAAACAGGTCATTGATGTTGCAGTTAATGAGTGACATGAAGCCAGCTTGGTAGGAGAGCTCTCAGCTCCACCCTTGGAACAACGTAATGGAGTGGGGTTGAACAAGGCAGTGTCAGAGCTGTAAACAAGATACGTGTCCTGTTGTGGTGCCCCAGCAGCGCGGCTGCTCACTGCCTGGCACTGTTTGCCCAAGGCAATGCGCTGTGCAGATCAGCCAAGAGCAAGCCTGGGTAATCTCCTGCCATGCCACACTTGTACATGTACTCATGGTACAGGCTCACAGGTTATCCAGGTTATCCAGGTTACAGTCTCAATTCTGCTCAAAAACCAGCTTTAAGAATGAGCTTAGTGTTCAGATATTTCTGTTGTCTTCCAGATGAATGGTGTGGGTCGTAAAAAACATCTTCTCTCTATAACATTTCTCCACTATATGCATGCCATTTTCCTTGCTGATATGCTGCATGCTGATTACTGTGTATGGTCACTCGCAATTTGTGAAATAAGAGGAAATGATCAGAAAATTATGTTTAGATGAAGAAGTGCTCAGGGAAATTAGAGAAATTAATCCAGTGAATGTCATCATGAAAAGTGTAGTAGTTCTGCTATATGTGCTCAATAGTTTGCTTCTATGAATACAATTAAAATAAATATAGATTTTTCATTTATTTTGTCGTAGGCCGAGTACTACTATGAATTCCTGTCTTTGCACTCTTTGGATAAAGGCATAATGGCTGATCCAACTATAAATATCCCCCTGCTTGGAACAGTTCCTCATAAGGCATCAGGTTTGTACTGTTGATATTATAAATTTTGTTTCTGTAAAATATATTCTACGGCCAGTAAAGTCTAAATGTTTCATTATGAATTGTAGTTCTGAAGTTTATTGCCTAAAGCAATACTTGCCACAGTGCTTGGCACAGAACAGTTTGTAATTGCCTTGCCTAAGTACGGAGGCATATTTTGTCTGAGTCAAGATACATGAAGCTTTAAAGCAATACTTGCCACAGTGCTTGGCACAGAACAGTTTGTAATTGCCTTGCCTAAGTACAGCAGCATATGCGTGTGAATAAACCAGCAGAAGCTTGTGCAAAATTGTTGCATAAAATTCACAAATGCTATTACTTAGGTTGTACAACTTTTGGAAAACAAATTCTTTAATGAATATTGGAAAAGTTATCAAATTATTCTGTTTCTCAAAAGTTGCGGTTTGTGGAGGTTCTGCTTTCATTTGGAGTCATCAGGCATTCAGGTCAAAGACAAAAGTTCTAGTTCAGGATATGATCATTTATCATTTATCCCTTAGTTGTGCATTCTTAATACTTCACTGGAATTTACAGCTACACAGCAGAGGCTGAGCCCAAGCCAATGCAAATGCTCCAGAAATACCATGATGTGTAGTGAGTGGATTTGAGTAAAAAAGCTTTCCCTGAAAGAGTATTGAATCCAGTTAGCTCTGAAGTGGATGAATAACAGTTTATGTGATCTCTTTCAGGGTTCATACATGGTAGCCTCTGGTAGGAAGGCAGAAATGTGTATCTTGATGACAGCAGTCAGGGTTCATACATGGTAGCCTCTGGTAGGAAGGCAGAAATGTGTATCTTATGACAGCATCATCATTGATGACATTGTCTTAGTCATCGTTTCCTAAATTGCCTTAGCCAACCTGTGGGATAAATGTGGGAAAGAAATGAGTAATAAAAGAGGAGGATTGGACTGCAAATGAAGCACCGATATACAAGTTTTCATCTCTGATGAGTCTTTATTCCTTCTCTCTTTTTCAGTGGATAAATTCTGAAAGTTGGTGCATAATATACTACATTTTCAGCTTGCAGTAGATTGCCACTGAAGCAACGTTTCAATACAGCTTTTTGCCATGACACCTGGAATTTAGCATGAATGATTGGTCTCTCCATTCAGTGTCCAAATAAGGCAAATAATGGCTTTAGTGCTGTAGGGCCCCTCTAGCATGTATTTGCCTTATGGCCAATGGTGGCCATAAGAAGACCTGTGGAAGAGCAAAAGGACAAGCACATGTGACACTTCTGTTTACCCTCTCAGCTTTTACTACCTTCAGCTTGGAGGATTTCCTGTGCCTTAAGTGATTTGTCTACTTTATAAGTGCCACATGGGTTATAGATCTCTCTTTCTAGTACTTCTCTAGGCTGTCCTTGAGTCCCTATCACCTTCTGTTATCTCCAATCACCTTGGCAAGGAGTTCACTGCCATCTGTTGCATGAAAATCCTTCTCCTGTTTCAAGTCTGGCTGAACAGCTTCATCTGATGGGCACTGGTCCTTGCACTGGTAGAGACAGTAGTCAATCTGTACTGATCATCATATTCATCATTTTGTATGCATCTATTATGTATCCCGTGATTTTTTTTCTCTTTGCCAAACTTTGAAGAGTCACAGCCTACTCAATTGCTTCTCATCTAATGCAGCCTTGTCCTTCTCTTATCTTTCTCTAATTCAGTGTATCCTGAGATGAGATACCAAATTCTCCTCAGATTTAAGCGAGATTTAAAACACCTAGGTTCCTTAGACTTATTTAAAAACCCATTGCCAAGTCCCAGAATTGGCAGCTGATTCAGTGCTCACAACATGGAGTAACATATTGTTACACCTAAACACATGGTAAGATGTTAAGAAGGCTGGAGATGCTTTCCAGTGGGAGCTTAAAGAGCTAAGACTGCTCAGCTTGTGCAAAAGAAGATATTTGGGAGGAGTGTGGATACCTGCCCAGTGAGAAACAGCTGGCTGCTCATTTCTGGCTGCAGGGAAAAGCCTGTGAAGGTCCAGTGGTTCAGTCTGAGGTTAGCAAGGTCAAAACAAAGTGAGTCATTTTTGTGGCAGTGATTAACATCTTGAACACCACATTCAGAGAGGTAAACACAGCCACAGGTCTGTGCCCAGAAGCAATGTAGTGGCCTGTGACTGAGATAGAGCTGGCCCCCTTAGTGGCCCGAGGTGGCCCCTGGTGTCCCTGTCTGACCCAGGCAGTGCAGTGCTGGTGCAGGCTGGTGTGACCAGGCATCTCATGCAGCCCCCACAGCCCACCAGCCAGGCTCAGGAGACCTTCTCTCCCTGCCCACTGCTTGTCTTGAGACATTAAAATATAGGTGCTGAGCATCCAAAGATGCTGAAATCTCTCCAAGCTCAGCAGCAGAAATCAGTGTCTTCTCTGAGTGCAACACCAACTCTGCTCTGTGTGCCGTGCTGGTATAGAGAGTGACAGTGGGCTGCAGGACTGTGTATGGGCTCCCACTCCTCTCCAGACCCTTCAGGCCTGCTTCTGTTGAGATTGGTCATTCAGAGATGTCCCTTAAGCAGTCCCACAAGAGACTAAAAGTGTTTTTTGTTGTTGGCATTGGCATATTTGCTTAGTGGGTGAGGCAATTGCTTGCAAACTTGAAGAGTTTGCAGACATCCAGGAGTTACTCTCAGCCTGCTTCTACTGAAGACAATTTAGAGAACCTCAGTTTCCTAAGCAGAGGGAAAAGGCATGACCTCCCAGACAAAACATATTAAACCTGCATCCTAGCAGAGCATTCTAATTACTACCTAAAATTAAATTAGGTTTAAGTCACTAGGTTTCCTTAGGTTACTTTTCAAATTTGTTAAACGTTCCTTTTAGAGCCATATGCTCTGCAGCCCAGAGGATACAGAAATATATATGTGCAGGAGAGGCTGTTGTCTGGCCTGGTGGTGGGAGGATGGTTAACAGAAAGAGGTCCATATCTGTGATTTCCTCTCCCTGTTTTTAGCCAGTGATGGACAAATGTAGCCTGCATGCTGAGGTTTGCCCTACTGTGGCCCTCATCAACACGGTGATGGGCCATGGGAGCTCATGGCTGTGTTTTTTGCTGCAAGGGACTTCTCTCTGTGCTTTGGTTTGACTGTGGTGCTGTTGGTGGGTGCTTAGTATTATTCAAACAGGCATAAAAAGGCAAAGATTCAGGAAGAGCTTAGGGGCTTTATTTCAATTCTGAACCACCACAGAGTTCAGCCAGGATCCAGGTGGTTTTTGCTCACAGGAGGGTCCTTTACTGCATATCTGTGTGCCTAGCTGTGCAGACACATGAGAAGTCCAAAAATTCCAGAGTGGGCAGTGCTGGAATAAAAGGTTTATGATCTGTGGCCTTGTTCTCTAGGGATGCATTGCTGGGTTTTTCCCTAGGCATTTAAACCACAGCCAGATGTCAGGGGAGTTCAGGGCTTGCTACCAATTCAATGAAATCTAGATACTGCTATAGTGCTGTCATCAACAGTCTGCCACACCTTCCTCCCCATTGCAATTTGTTCAACTAAAACACATCCTAATCCAAGCTCTGATTTCCTGCACTTATGCTATAAGAAGGTTACTAGAGTTTCAGAAATTTACAACTTTTAAAATGTATTTTTAAAATAATTAACTGTGTTTCCTTCTTGCCACCTGGTTACATGGTTTTGGTCTTTGCAAAGGTTGGTGCAAAAGCCCTTTGACTATGTAATTGCTTTCTAAAATGAGAACTGCAAGGCACCTTTCTGTTTGTAGGAATTATTCTGTATTTTACAAATTATGGCTTGCAAAATTTTTATAACAAGCAATCTAAAACAACCCAAATGTAGGGCTTTTAGCTCTGTATTTTATTAGGAAATCACAGACCAGCTTCAGAAGAAGGGAATAAACAATTTCTATTAGTTGGATTTGACTTATCAAGCAGCTAAGAAGAGCCAATTTTGAAGAAAAGAGATAAAATCATTTCATCTGAACATTATTTAAGATCACTTGTGACAATTACAACAGAGAATTCCACAGTTCTGAGGTATTGGTCTTACTTCATCATTAAAATACTCCAGATTTAGTGGCTTTAATTAGATGCTTAAACTCTTTGTATTTCAAAAGTGTTTGAATATTATTCCTGGAAAAGCAATGTCCAAATGTCACTAAGCTTAATTAGTTCTGTCAGAATGAGGTGTCTGTGTCTTCTTTTCAAAAACTGCACCCATGATCATACTTATCAAGTGTATACTTTGTCAGCCCTTTATGGAGTAAGTTTTGGTTAGATCAGTATCTTATTTAGGCAATAATTGCAATATCCAAATGAGGAAAAACTTACCTAAAGTAACTTTTTCCCTAAATATATGTTTTCACAGAAGTCATAGGACAGCACAGAAAATTTAGACTCAGAAGTGAGAAGTTCAACTCAGAAAATCAAAAGTAGGCTTCCAGCTTGTTTTGATATATCCTTAGATACCTCCACATGAGTAATTTCCTCATCTGCAAGAAAAGTATGGTTGTGTTAAGATCACTGCCTGCACTATAGGCTCTTGGGGTTATTTCAGCAAATGAGCACAAGCTCTTCTCCTGTCCTGCTTTACTTCTAACCCTAGAGCCACCTCTGAATCAAGGGATCTGTGTTACATTGGTTCATCAATGGCATTCCTTAGCTTAGATACATCTATAATTTTATTTTTTAGTATTGCAATGTATGCTTTTGTATGTATGTATATATGTGCATGTAAATGTAAGTGTTATTGGTATTATTGTCCTTTTAGTTGTTCAGGTTGGATTTCCTTGCCTTGGAAAACAAGATGGGGTCGCTGCCTTTGAAGTGAACGTGATCATAATGAATTCAGAAGGCAATATTATCCTCCAGACCCCTCAGAACGCCATCTTCTTTAAAACCTGTCAGCAAGGTAACACTGAAGAAAACATGCTGGGATGCTGTTAGACCAGGTCACCTAACTGTCTCCTGTTTCATTTAGGATAAGAGGATGAAAGTAAAGCAGTCACACAATGTGTAGCAATCATGGTGAATTCCAGGCTTTCTGGCTCTGTGTGCATTTGCTGATCATTTACTACATTTACTGAGCCTTTTCTTACAGAACTCCCTTAGCAGAATGAGTTGGAGACATTTCTCCCTCCTCCTGTTCACTGCTCATCACATTAAGGGCATTGATAGAGATGTATCATATGAAAAGCCCCTGTTAGCAAAAAATTCTAGGTGCTTGGAGGAGAGCTAGTTCTGTGAAAGCACATTCCAGAAATGGCACATCATCTGGGGAACTATAGTGAGGACACTGGTATCAATTAATGCTGTCTGTGCCTCAGTTCCAGCTTGGTGTCCTTGGTTCCCTAAATCTCACACTTGCACATCCAAACTGAATACAAAAATCTTAATTCAGAACATTTCTGCAAAACCTGGCTTTACCTTCTCTGTAGCTCAGGTGCAGCCTCTTGGCTTCTGATACAGGTAAAATGGTGGAAGCTGGTGTTCAGTACTTGCAGTTTTCAAGCAGTAAGCACACAGGGGACACGCTGGTAGGAGAAGAGCCATGAAGTTTTTGCAGTGTTTGCTTGGAAAGGAGAGCAATTGTTTAATCAACTGATCTATGAACATAAGCACTATGTAACAAGACTTTCTGAATTAATTCAATACACCACAAACAACTATAATTATCACTTTAAGCTGAGGCTATGGAAATTGAAAAATCAGTGTCTAAGATAGGATAATTATCCCATATCATGTGCAATTGTATCAAATTAACCCATGACAGGGCTGATGTACAACAAGATTTTTTTCTTCCCCTATTACATCTTCATTCACAATCCCACATTTTCTTCTCGGCACTATTTTCTCTGACATAATTGGCTGTAGTGTGACTTCAAAGAGTGAGTAGTGGGAGCAAGAGCTGTTTATTCTTTGAAACCTCACTATGCCCAAATAGCAAAGCTGCTTGTTCCCTTTGAAGCCTTGCTGCTGCCAATTAGCCCAGGGAAAGTGGAGGAGGGGGAGAAGAAGTGGGCAGAGAAACAGGAAGAAAAATGGAAGATTTAAGTACACAAAACCAATCAGATCTCATGTATGAAGTTGTGTGTCTGGTGTACATACAACATAAAACATTTCCTATCTTTTTATTTTCAGTTCAGCTCAAAGATACTGAACTAAGAAAACTTTGAAAATAGCATTGGGGTATTCTAATAGGGAGAGCAGAGTTACAGTTACAGGTCTGTATTTTGGAAAATAGTGGCTTAAAGAGGAAGGGCTCCAAACTCAGTCATAGCAGTCATCCAGGTTATCATTTCTGTGTTATTATTTGTTGTTACCATTTTTATACGAGCTGTAATATCTAACAATTTAGCAGTATTGCATCATATGACCTCTCAAGAAACCTGGGGTTGATTATTGTCCCAGTCCTTTGTTCATGGAGCCAGCTGAGAGACACAGGGCAGATTTCCCAAACTTTAGAGACATGCAGAGGCGGAGCTTTCTCACACATCTCTTCCCGCCCATACTGGAATAACTCCCATTCCTGCCCTGTGTCCTGTAAGGTGAAAACAGCAGTGTTTTAGGACAGATGCTGAGACAGATAAGAATGTCTTTAGCGGCTGCTGTTAGAATAGGTGGTAGATTCCTTCCTCTGAAAGATATCATACATGTTGAAGAGCTCCTGTCAGGAGCTCCCTGATCACTGCAGTTGTTCTTGGCCATAAACAGAAAGGCCCCAGCCGAGGAAGTGAGGGGAGCAAGGGAGCAATTTTGTGGATAAGAGAGGATTTGTTGTGTCTAAGAGGTGGTCACAAAGAAAAAATATGTTTTCCTATTTTTCTGCTGAAATGGTATGTATTTAAGCATGCTTTTTTTTTTTTTTGGTAATGAATAGCAGCTCTGCTTTTGAGTACAAAGAGAGAAGCATTTCCAGAAAAAGTCCTAGAATACAGTGTCAAAACACAGTAGGACCAAAAATCCTTTACTACAATTACTACAGCTGCAAACAGCTTTACTTTTAAGGAATATCATTTTACCTCAGAGGTTTTGAACCTTCTCACTTGGAATGCCACACAACAGAGCGTCAAGATGAGGAGGTGGTGCCTACCACTGATCCCTACTGATGCTGAGTTTTTCTAATGGGAATAGGCAGTCTCTCCTGCCTGCCTTATTCTCCATGAGGGATCTGGGAAGGCATTTTTGAGTTATTATTTTTATACCCAGCAGCCCTTTTTTATGGTGTTCCATAGGGCTTGACTTAGTTTGCCTTCTTGTTTGATGGGCTCTGGTGTTTTGAGGATAGTGGTGGCACCCAGAAGTATCTTTCATCCTTGTATAATCCTGCCAGTGTTGCCAAATGCTTTTCCATATTTGATCAATAACCGAGATATGAATGAGAGCTGATGATGATGCAGAATTGTTGTGCAGGAGTGCTTTCATCTTCCTTTCTGGCCTTCTTCCATTTAGCCTTGATACTCACTCTTTCATGTGAACATAGATTCCATCATTGTCACCTCAGTAGTAGGTACAGATGTGGTAATTAATGCAATGCAAGTTGCAGTGATGTCTGCTTCAGGCTGCAGAAATCGAAACTGGTCCTACACAATAAGGGTAGGTCTAACCAGCCATGCAAGTTCTGCACTAAGTTGCCTGCTCATTTCCACACAGAAAATAAAGTACTGGATTGAGAAGAGCAGGGCATCCACATAGAGAGATGAAAGTGCAGAGTGCACCAACAAGTGCATCACCCATGTGAGCATGTGAACATCTATCTGTAGACTACTAAAAGAGAAACCAATTTATCTTGAAGAAATCTTAGCTGAATTTCTATTTCTTCAGTGTTTGTCTGCCAGCAAATATTTTAACTCTTGTGTCAAAGAAATATATTAATGCTACTGAGATCTGGCTGGCAGCTGAAGTATATAACATTTTAATTAAGATTGTTGTTATATTTTCTGAAGCGGAATGTCCAGGAGGATGCAGAAATGGAGGGGTTTGCAACGAAAGACATGTCTGTGAATGTCCTGATGGATTTTACGGGCCTCATTGTGAGAAAGGTAATTTAATAAGAAATCTCAACTGTCTTCTTTACCACAATCTCAAGAAAACTGTATCTGCTGCACTGTAGGCTCTCAAAAAATTAAGAATGGCCTATTCTGAAGATTTCATATATTTTGAGTTCATACATGTAAGAGAATTGTTATTGTCATCCATGGTCTAGTGGAAATACGAATTGCTTACGTGAAAAATATTTTCTCTTTCACAAATTACTTTTAACAAAAACCGATGCAATAGTTAAGTGATCCTTAATGACAGGGAATCCATCTGGCAAGAAGATTAAATAAAATTCTTCTGCTAATGAGGACTAGCTGTGAAACAAAGCACAGTGCTTTAGTTGCTCTGCATTTGTTTATTTGCAGATAAGATCAGATATGTAAGCAGGCTGAAAACAAAAATGGGAAGATGAAGGGAAGATTCTCTTTCTCTTCCGTGAGTGGATAATAGCCCAAACCAACATTTCCAGGAGTGAAGAACCAGGAAATTGGTGTGACTTGGCAAGGAAACTAGATCTTCTTCCTATCCCTCCCTTCCTTTTCCCAGTGGCAGTTCCTCCCCAGGCGACTGGAGACACCCATCCCCATGGGCATCCTACTCCAATGCAATCATTCACTCCCAGATACTCTGGCTACATCAAAAATATTAAATACAAAGGATCAAGGACTGTTCTCTGGCCTTGAGAGCAACTGGCACAGCTTACATTCATATGTTTAATAAACTCTTTCCTTCCAGCAAACCCATTACAAACTCACTCCTGGGAGGAGCCCGTGGTCACTACTCGTCCCAGGACCATGGCCAGGAGGATTTGCTGGTCAGCTGGGACAAAGCTGAGCCACCAACAGTTTCACAAGATGATTTCACAAGGCCATTTGGCCCCGTGCCTGGGTGCTGTTTAACTCACCAGCATGGACCTGACCTCGCTGCATGTACCAATTGTGGGCAACCACAAAGTGAAGCATTGCCCCCTAATGTGCCTCCCTGAAGAGCCTTTTGGGGTGGCCACATGGCAGAGAGGTCTTGGAAGAGCACAGGGGCTCCAGAGAAGATTCACTGGGAGCATGCAGGACACTGGCTGTGCAGCAGGCTTTCCTAGCCAAAATTAGGTAGCCATGCTTACGCTCAGGCATGCAGGAGTGGGGAAGGTTTATTGTAAAGCCTGCCTGGGAACCCCACTGAGCTACTGACCCCTGTGAGATAGTCCTGCCTGCACAGCTGAGGAGCCAGACTACAGTTGTAGAGAGGACTTGTCTAGGGGGATTTTAAATACCCAGAATGTGTAGGTGTATCTTTGCTCTCCCCTGTCTGATATTAAACTATACAAGAGGCAATTTCTGCTTACATGTGGAACCAGATCTGAACTCTAATTAGCCTACAGTTTTTAGTAGCACTATACAGAAATTGCCATATACAAACCAAAGATATAACAAATTTAACATCCTAACAGAGGCCCTTTGCAAAGGTGACTTAGAACAATAATCAGAAGGAAAAGTAGCTTAAGGAGTCAATGTGCGTGTATTCAAATACCAGGAAAGTATTGACATTTGGACATTGCCACCAGCGATGCTTTTTCTGCTCTTCCACCCCTCAGCCCTGTGTGTTCCTCGCTGCATGAACGGCGGGCTCTGCATCACCCCCGGCCTCTGCATCTGCCCCCCGGGCTTCTACGGCATCAACTGCGACAAAGGTAAACGCCAGCCGAGCCTGGGCTCTGCTGCCAGCAGCCGCTCTTTGCTCACCTCTGCACTTTCCCTCCAGGAGTGCTTTTTGGAAAGTCAGGCAAGCAATAAGTAAATACGTTTTAGAAATATTGTGGTTCTTAAAATAGTGCTGTAGCACAGCCCAGCAGCTGCTGGAAGAATATAGGAATTTGCAGGTATCCATGCACCCCAGCTCTGTGAAGGGTTGTTTGGATAATCACTTCAGCTGATCCACTGAATATTGTGGATCTTACCACAAAAATCACTTCTATTTCTGGGACAAGAAAAAAAAAAGGCAAAAATAAAACCCCTCTATTTGATCTTTAGTTTCCTGTAGTAAAATTAATTTTACTAATTATTTAGTACATGAATGTGCTGCATCTGGACACATGAAGAAATATGAAAGCTATTCATTTTTTGTTGCTGCACTGGGACTCGTGAAGGGTAAAAACCAACAATCAGTTGTTCAGAACAGTAACTGGGATCAGTCTAAGCTACCATGTAGCAAGAACCAAGTACTTTCCTGCAGAAATGTAACTGACCTGTTCATGGCAGTGTCGTGCTCCATTTGCCATTGCAGGTCTATATGAAGTAAATACTGAATGCAAAAGCTCCTAGAGGCCTTTTCAGCAAAATAGTGGGAACCTTCCTATTACTTTACACAAACTGTTGGTGTCAATGCCCTCACGTCTTCTATCTAGCCTTTGAACAGACTTGCACCACATTTAGAAAATGCTTCAAATGTGCACTTTAATTAAATGCTCCTGATGTCTTGAAGGATTAATGTGAATCCCAGCTGTTTGGTGAAAAGTTACATCTAACACAATGTAAGTTATTTGGCAGCTGAAAGTCAGAGCATTTGCATCTATGTCACCACACAGAAAAACTTGCGGAGATTTCTTTTCAGTCAAAGGATTACTCAAGAACTGTAGTGAAGTATCCTCTTGTAGAAGTAGCTTCCAGTGCTAGGCTGTGCTCCTTTTATCAGACACTGGCAGTTTCAATAGCAATAGTGCCTTAATCCCTCAATGAGCTTTATGTGTGGGGGTTGATGAAGATGTAGCACAGTCTGTCCTCAGAGAGCTCACTGCTGTATTGTTCACTTGTCTCATTCTGGATTGCCTTGTGTGTGTGCCCATGTAAAGCATTATGTAGGAATAACTGCATTTCAGTCTTACTTTCTAAACCAGATGAAAAGAGGTTAATCCTGCTTTTACAACCTACTCAATGTTTATTTATGATGAACAGCAGAGAACATTAAGTCCAAGTTAGTCCTAGTTCATGTTAATTACTTAGTTAATTCCTTTTATTTGTTTCAGCAAACTGTACAACAACCTGTTTCAATGGAGGGACGTGTTTCTATCTGGGAAAATGCATTTGTCCTTCAGGCTATGAGGGAGACCAATGTGAAATTAGTGAGTAGCATCTCTGTGTGCTTGCTTTCATTTATGTCAGCTTCTTCCTGTGTCAATGCATGAATGCTAACATGTGAGCTGCCTCTGCTGGGCACAGAGCAAAGGTCTCACACAGCAGTTTGGGACCGTGAGAGTCAGATGCCACATGCCTCTGAACGAGTCTCCTACTCAGAAGTTTGATTCATTGCTGGACCATCTCACCCCCTGCCCTGTTCTGTTTTCACTAGTAACCAGGCTTGGTAGCAATCCTCAAGCCATGAGTATGCAAGCAACACCCTGTGGCAGACAGATGTGTTGCCAGGCCAAGACTGTGGGATGCATCTATTTTCAAACATTATGGCAAATCACACCTGGGCACAGCAGATTAAGTTTGAGCTGTCACCTCTGAAAGGACTACTATAATTTGGGGATGAAAATATTTGGGACAAAAGGAGAACTGAACTGTAAGAGCTGAAAGCTTTCATGTAGGAGGTAAAATTGCATTCACAAGGTAACTTGAGGATGTACAACCAGACCTCATTCTTCCTGGACTTAGAACTTCTAACAGGACACTCTACAGGGAAGCTTTCTCTGTTGTAAACAATCTCACCAATATTCCCCAGCACCTTCACAGGAGCATGGAGAGCAGTATTTGACCTAGGATATGTAAATGCTGTTTTTTTAATATACGTCAGTAGAAGTAAGTCCTCCACACAATTAGGACATTTTTATCACTTTGCAACACATGGGAATAAACTCTTAACTTGCTATCAGCCAATACACAAGAAGTGAATTACTATGCAAAGAAAGTACACAGATACAGTAAGACCTACATTTTTCTCAGTCTTTATGTGTAGATTAACAATAGGTGTATGTAAATGTTTCACCATGTCTCTATGCATTACAAGGCATTTTGCAACTCCTTTTTACAGCATCAAAAATTCAGGGAAAAAGAAGCAGCAAAGCTTTATTGTTTTTAAGTAAATAAAGATTGCCTATTGGTATAAATTTGGATCGTATTCCACAAGAACAACAGTGTGGGTTTTCACTGGATTTACCTTTGCTTACATCAAGCTCAAATTTGACTATTTGACATAATACCATTTCTTTCTTCAGTCCCTAAAAAGTCAACATTGTTGACATTGTTCAGATGAAGATTAAAGTTTAATTGAGAGAAGCATGTATTTACGTTTGGTGGTGTTTTTTTTGAGGAGAATTCTTAGAACTGTTATTGCAGCCAGTATATTTAAGGGCAGTCCATTTAATTGATCTGTCTGAGGAGCTGAAACTCGTATTTGTTGACTGCTGCTTGGGATAAGTGCAATTGTTTTGACTTCCTGGAAAGGCTTACCTGTGAAACTCAAATTAAATTAATTAAAATACAGGCAGTATACTAGCTTCTGTACAAAAGATAAAAGAGCAAATTCAGATCGCCGTATGCTGAGACCTAAACTGGGACAATGTCAGTGAGAGCAAGAAAAGCAGTAAAGCCAGGACTGCAATTGTTAGGCTGTGATTGACAGCTGTCATCATCCCTGGGCACTGCACCAGCACAGCAGTGGAAGATTGCAAGAAATCTAGACAAGGCTTAGAAACACCAGAGCAGAAACACAACTCAGTCCATTTTCTTAGATCCAGGGCCAACTATATTCAATCATGGGAATTCTTAAAATAATGAGCAGGAAAAACCTTTCAACAGGCAGAAAGCCATCTTCTGAAAATTGCAAGGTTTTGTTGTTTGGGGTTTTTTTTAGCATTGGGTATAGGCTTTCAGTGCTTGTGTAATAATTGAATCCCTCTGTAAGACTCCTGGGAAGTATACTGAGCCCAGTCCACAAGACCAACAGACATTCACAGTCTTCCAGGTTTTTTTCTAATTAGCATTTCACTTTGAATCCAGAGAGTTTTATTTTGCTTTGGATTCCTCCCCTACTTGTCACCAGCTGTTTTGTTGCTTTTTCCATTTCTTAGTCAGTAACAGAGAGAGTTATTACTCTTTCCTTCATTCTGTGACAATATCTTAGTCCAAACTTAATTGAGCTGTGCTGAGCCAAATGCTTGCCTGTTGCACCTTGGTCGAAGTTGGTGTCACGTCTCTTGACCCATATCCTCCAGATTTACTTAAAGAACTAGGAAAGTGCATTGATTTCTTTAGCATTGCTCTTTCCAATTGTTAATTACTTGGGATGCAAATGTTTGCAAATTAGAATGCCTAAAATTTCCCTCCCCAAAGGCTCCTGCAGAGGAATTGTGCTTTTGCAGAAACTCTCCTTAGCACAGTTTGTTCCATCAGCTGCTTGTGAAACTTCTTTCAGGGTTATTAAAATATTTATGTAGGATAGGAATGAGTGTTTCCTTTATATTGACAATACACTTGTGTATCACAAAGCTCTTCAGGGTTTGAGGGCTAAGCAGATGCTGCCTGTGATGTTGAGCTCCCAAGAGGGGAATCTGTGATCGTGAAATGAGGTTTTTAACACGGCAGGACAGTGTTGATGCTTAAATTATGATGTGCAAGTCTCAGTTAATACCTTTCTTTAAAAAAAAAGAAAAGAAAAAGAAAATAAGGGAAAAGGAAAAGGGAAAGGGAAAAGGAAAGGAATCAGTTTGCCCAGTTAATACCTTTCTTTTAAAAAAAGAAAAGAAAAAGAAAATAAGGGAAGGCAAAAAGGGAAAGGGAAAAGGAAAGAAATCAGTTTGCTGCCCCAGGTTCCAGTTTTTATTTGCTCACAGATTCAGGCAAATATTAGTGTTAAATCTAGGGAGAGTGCCTTTGTTTTCTCTTTTCTGAAGAATCTAGGAAGTCTAGTGGCATTAGAACAGATAAAAAATGGTTTTGGACCATTGGAAAATGAAAATGACCAATGAAAAAAGCTGTACTGATACACATGGGCACCATGGTGGCAGGAAAGTGAGGGTGCAGTTCCTGGTGGCCCAAGAGTGCCCAGGGAAGTGACAGTAAGCCTCCCTCAGCCTGGGAGTGACTGAGCTCATGGGCACTGTGCTTCCCTTCCTAGAGAGGAGTGAAGATTTAATTAGGTCAGTAATGCAGACAAATTCTAACAAGGTATAGGCAGTCTGATGGTGGGACATGGGGTGTTAAGTTTGGGGAAGGTCCCTGGTGTGTCATGGCCAGCTTGAAAGAAAGAAACTGAATGTGGTTCTCCTCCAGCGGGGGCCTCCTCAGTCCCAGGCGACCAGGGCCAAACAAGACTTCCTACAACAGCAACAACACCTGACCCAGCCTATGCCTTTGGCAAAGTCTGTTTGTGAAGGAAAGTAATTTCCAGACCAAGAGCCTGGAAAAATGTCTGCCAGTTCCGATTACTGTTAGCAAAGTTGCTCTGTTCTTTGCAAGCAGGAAAGAAGGGCATGTATTTTTAATGTGCCCTTAGTTTCTGAGCTGCCATGTGGAACGTCCCTCATTGCACCATCCACAGCACCACGGTGCTCCCAGCCTGGGCTACAAGCTGAAGGGCCCAGCCAATCTATTTACTGTCTGCAGGTAGCAGCCATACCTGTCATTGCCTGAGTATCTTACTGCTCTCAGATGTCACTAGATTTTTTTTTGCTGGGGCCCCTCAAGTTTGGATCCTGCTCTTTGGAACCACATGGTCTGGGCAGGGCTGCCCCCCTGTAAGGGTGAGGAGAGCAGGAGTCAGTACTGACCAGTCATGTGGGGGATTCTGCAGAGACAAAAGCTCCAAGGTCACACAGGCTTTGGTCATGCCAAATTATTGTAATATTCTCAAAGGAGAAGAATGCTTATAAACTGGAAGCACAGACTTGCAGCAGTGTCTTCCTGATGGATCCATAGTGCACACTTTAACATCATGAGTTTTTCAGGTACAAGGCAAGCTTGTCAGACACTTGTCTCCAGTAGGCACAGGGGGCTAAGACCATTGTTTCTATATTTTCAATTTCCAGGTAAATGCCATCAACCCTGTCGAAATGGAGGCAAATGTACTGGTAAGAATAAATGCAAGTGCTCCAAAGGCTACCAGGGAGACCTGTGTTCAAAGCGTGAGTACCAAAGCTGCTCCAGCAGTCCTTGTGGGAACTTCAAGCTCACTGCGCAGTATCTTTTTTACATAACTTCAGTGCTAATTGTTTGTTGTCAAAGTAGTTCAAGTTATCTTACTTTCTGGATGTACATCATACACCAGACTTAAGAAAATTATGAAACCAGAAACATTTTTTAACAGAAGTGTCCTCACAGTCTCTTCTGTACTCTTGAATTTCTATAAACCAGCATTGGCACTTTAGTAATATAGAAATGCTTAATAAAATGTCAATGCTTTGCCATGTTAAAATACAATGAGAACACTTCGTGAGGGGGGTGATGAGGACCACTCTCCTTCTCTGGCTGGTTCTGATGGATGCTCAGCTCTGCTGTACAACCTGATTCCTTTGCCAGGGACTGAGCCAGACCTTGCAGGTAAAGAGAGGGGTGTGGATTGTTTCAGGGCTCTGACTGCACTCACTGCAAAGGCATGGATTTACTTTGAGAGCCACATCTGTGCCAGGACCAACCCATCATGTGAAACAGCAGGGAAAGCAAATGTGGACTGTCTCTGGATGAAATGTCAAGAGACCAGGTGTATGTGTTCCCTTTTTTACAGCTGTCTGTGAACCCAGCTGTGGCCTGTACGGCACCTGTGTGGAGCCCAACAAATGCCAGTGCAAAGAAGGCTGGCATGGGAGACACTGCAATAAAAGTAAGTGAGGAACAAACCCTGAGAGTCGTATCTGAGGTGTTACACACCCAGTGCTATACAGAAATGACTGCCTCAAGAGCCTTTCCAGCATCATTAATGACACCACACTCCTTTTTCTCTAATCTTTAATCCAAGCAATAAAACAAAGGTTTTCAATATTCCATAATTTTACCTACTTAAAAAAAAATTATAATAATTTGAAAGTGTTTTATCTAGACCGCTTTTGTATTAGAAATTCCAGAATCTGGTATCAATCAGAGGATGTCTTCCAACCACAGCATGGAAGGGATCAAATTCTTTCAATACTCCTCAGTAATATCAGCTAGCTTTGAAATTCTGGATAGGTATTTTTAAAACTAAAACTCTGACACATTTTAAAACTGATTGAAACTTAGAAAAAATGTAATGTCCTTTAGAAATTTTGGGGAAAACTTGAAGAATTATGCAAGATCTGCTCTTAGCAACTTCAGATTTTTCTTCTCCTCTTCCTACCCATGTTCCACAGCATACAAAATACATTGCCCCAAAGCGAAGTTAACGTTCTTGAAATTAATTTCTGTTGTGCTTTTGGGTCTATTAACCATCTCTTGTAGCAACTGATCATTTCACTGGACTTAAAATTGTGCTGTATAATTATTTGAAATACAATTGGATATATCCAGTAAGAACTTCAGATTTAATTTTATGTTTCATGTGCAGAAATACTGCAGAAAAACAGCAGATCTTCAATATGTGATCTGTATATACTCCCAAAAGATACTAACGTATATCACTGTTGGCTACCAATACACATCATGTTTTATGTGTCAATAAAGTTGAAAAATTTTGCAGCTATAAAACTAATCAGCCATAAAGAATGTGAACCTTAAATTGCTGCATCAACTGAATGTTTACTTTTATTAAAACCTGTTGATGCATATGATTTTTGTCACATCAAAATGTATTAGAATAAATGCAGTATTTTCATTAAAAACTGAGTATTGTCCAACTAAGATGGATTTTGCTGTGAAAACTAGGTTTGCTGTGAAAATTGGGAGTCTGCTTTTCTGCTGTTACCTAGTGGATTTGTCTTGAAGTATTCATGCTACTCTCTGAAGGAGAAATACCATTAACATAAGTTATGGTTAGAAAAAAGTAATAAGGAAATGAACCACTACAAACTACAGTTCCTAAGTTTGGTATGAAATTTTTCTTTCTGTCATACTCTTCCTATAAAGAACTCAGATAGCAAATTAAAACCAATACATACTTTAGGTGACCATCACCAAAGAAGTACAACAAAACCAAAGCTCACACCTGCCTTGTGATAACTCAATAGTCTCACATTATTGTAAACTCCAAGGTTTTGCATCTTCATTACTTGGAGTTTGGGTACAGTCCTGCTGTGTTTAGTACTGCAAAGCTCTCTTTGTATTCAGCAAAGAAATTGTGAAATGGACATTTGGGCAAACCTCACCCCCATTTAAGTGTCCATTAATGTGCATGCACTGCAGTTCCCTCTTTTCGACCAAAACCAAACATCACTGGGTCTTGAGAGGAGATTTATAGTTAACTTGAGAGACTTGTTTCAGATTCCATTAAATGAATGGCTCTTTGGTAAAGCTGTTTTCTTAAAAAAGAAGTGGTTAAAAAATAGAACTGAGGACTCAGTTTTTCAAAGCCATTTCCATGAGCTTTAAGTATGAGATGAGTAAATTAACCTATAAAAAATTACAGCATAATACTTTGGATTCCATTTTTATTGTTCACTTTCATTTTCCACAACAAAGCAGCTCTAGTAAGCCTGTTTCAGATGGCTTTTTTTCCCACCAGGTGTTTATGGTCACTGGTGTTCTTTTTCTTTGCATTCAGCTATAAACCAAAGCCCAGCTCAGGTATCTGGTGCAGATTCTCCCAGGGGGTCGCTTATGCCCCACTCTAGAGCTGGCAGATCATCATGACTGTAACCAGCTGGTGTGGGGGTTACCAATGTGAACCCCAGCCTGTGCTGGGCTCCCTGGGCAGGCCAAGCATCTGTCTGTCTGGCAGGACTTCGTTCATCCTGAGGCATGAGCCCTTTTGTAAGGCAAAGCAAAATCCTTTGTTCACATGGGTAAGGCAGTTTCCACTTGAAATATTAGCTGTGGATCACGAGCCCACTTCTGTGGATTCTTTTTTCTTGAACTGGATAATTTTCCAGGGTACGGAGCCAGCGGTCTGAGCGCCCTGAGGCCAGCAGGCAGCAAGCACAGGCAGCACACGCCTTCGCCAAAAAGGGCCGAGGAGAAGCATGTCCCACCCGAATCCAATTATATCTGGTGAGCTCCAACATCTGAAATGGTTCGTGTTACACAAAGTTCACAGCCTTCATTAACCTCTCATGGATTGAATGTTAAAATGCTGTTTGTTACAGTTGAGATTACCGGCTGGAATTTTATTAGCTTCATTATAAACCACTGAGCTGACACTTACTATTTCTTTTAAGTTTTATAAATACTTCTGTAGCGTGATTATATAGGCTTCTTCTCTCAGTGCTTTGGATGGTGTTTTGTACTACACTTCAGTTACAGCTAAACTTCTTTTTTTTTGGTTATATAGCAAATATTATCCAAAAATTAAGTAACCATATTCAAGCAGAAAATCCTGTAGATGCTAACCCTGAATTATTTCAATGACTACAGATGCAATTTGCCTAAAACAAAAGAAAGGTGCATTTTGCACATTTTTACAAATTGTGTATTTAGACTTTTCCCTAAGAAAAACAGATAAATAAATAAGTTGCCTAATTTAAAAACTGAATAACTCAGTTCAGTGTTATTTTTGGCTTTACAGTTTTGTGTATTAAAAAGAAACTGCAGTGGTACCATTTAACCGACATAATATATTGTAAACAAAGTAGAGCTATAATGTATGAAGTTTCTGCATCAGCTTGAAGCAATATAATATATTGTAAACAGAACAGCTCTTATGTAATAAACTTTTTATACTGATTTTTATGTATAAAATAAAGACGCTGCTTTAGTTTTTTGAGTACTGCTCTGCGTGGCCTCCTGCGGTCTCATCAGTGCTGGGTTGGGACGATGGTTTTCCTAGGGCACCCTCATAAAACAGTGGCACTGTGGGGTTGGTGTCCCTCTGTCTGCCTTTAGCCCCACAGCTCTTCAAAATATTTCAGAAGAACAAACTCTTGTGCCTTGGCCACGGAGGGGAGACCTTGGAGGGCCGTGTGTTTCACTCCCTGTTCTTGTCCCCCTTGTACCACGTCCTCCTTTCCCCCAGCACCGCCAGCCAGCCGTGTTGGTGTGCCCAATTTGTGCAGCCTCAGGTGCTCAGAATATCCTTCTTACAGCTTCTGCCCCAGCAGGTGATAGTCCAGCCCTGGCCGTGTTTCCTGCTCAAGGGTGATGGTCCTGTGCTGTGTTGTGATTGCTCTGTAGAAGGCTTGGGTGCTGGGCTACATGATTTGTAATTTGATGTGGCTTGGAAGCAGGAAACATGGTTTCTGTCTGCACTGAAGAACAGTAAATATCCAATGAATTATTACTGACCCTTGTATTTCTGACAATCTTATTATCTGGGAGAAAAAAATTTAAAAAATAAATAACATAAAGTTGGAAATATTAGAGCTGGGTTTTTCCCTCCACTGAGGCCAGAAGGAGGAGACGTGGGCAGGAAAGGTGCTCAGCCTCTGCCCACAGCCAGTGCTGTCCCAAAAGCACCCTATTCACATTAAAAAAAGATGGAAAAGAGGCAGCCTGATGCAGAGGAGAAAACACTTAGATGATGAAAACCTGGGAGGAGCTGTTCATGATCTTTTTCTTGAAAATGTTGAAAGGAGGAGATTAATATTAGGTTGAGATTAAACGTGTAGCTGCTCTGTATGTCCAGGGATGCCTCAGGAGCTGTGTACAAACATGAATGTCACATTTGCATGCTCTTTGTTCTTTCTGTAGCAAAGATTAAATAGTTTATCACACAATACAGTAAAAAACACAGAAAATTCTTACTTAAAATTCCTCAGATATTTTGGCTGAACTTTTTCTGCTCATGTCAATTTCTTAAAAAGTTCTTCCTTAAAAATAGCAAGTGTATTCTTTTATACAGAGTAAATTTTTTGCTACTTGCCCTAAAGACACGCTGCTTCTTTGTTTTCAGAGTTTCACCACTGATTTTTGGAAATATCCTTAATCACGAGAAGAATATCATCAGAAATGTTACAAAAGGAAAAAATAGTCCTCAAACTGCACACTGTACCACAACTCTGTTTCTTAAATAACGTCAGTTGTCTACACAAAATCTCTCTGACTGGCTTTGCCAGTCTGAGCACAAAGTTTCCTGTGTAAGAGACGGTCCTTGATGTCAGAGTTTTAAGTTAAAAGTCCGTGATAACTGAGAATGCTAAAAGAAGTAATGAATTTTCCAGAAAAAGTCCAGTTGGAAGTTGGAAGCAATTTTGCCATTTGAAAATAAACCACAGAATTTATCACATTCTGTCACTGACAGGACATACATATGAGGAAAAAAAGATGTGCCAGAGATGAAAATTATTTTAAAATAGCAAAATAAATTCAAAATACCAATCCACTACAATAGGTCAGACAGAAACTGCCTTTTCAATATTTGGAAAGTTTGTAGCTAGCCAGAGCAAAATGCCAAACATTGCACTTGTGAGCAGCAGCTGGAAGGTGATGAAAATGAGTAAAAGAACATAAAATGTTAAAATCACTATAGCTCTACCAAAGAAATCTCAATTTGAGCAACTGACAAAATGATAGCTTGACAAAGGGCTTCTAATGGTACTCAATAATGGTACTCAATAATTTGGTATCTAATATTGACATCCTACTATGTCCAGGTGTGCACAACATTTCAAAGGACAAATACACAAGGCACACAAAGAAAGCAGAAGCAGACATCCTAAGGGCAAACTGCCTTTTTTGTACTGCTGCCATTACTGAACTGATGCACATGCTTTTGGGGGTTGGTTTGGGTTTTTTGGGGTTTTTTTTGAGTTTGCATTTCAGGCTGGCTCTGTCTGTGCCATTGGATTTCAAACATATCTGTGCCTCTTCACATGTTCACCTGGCTGTTGGGGAGCTGGAGAGAATTGTGGCTTTTTCTTGTTCCTGCTGTGCTTGACCTGGCAACCCGTGTGCAGAGGTGCCAGGGGCAGCAGGGCCCAGCACCACTGCACACACTGCGTGCTACTCACTGCCTTTCTGGCCAGGAGGCAGCACTGGCTGCTGGGACTCAGCACACTTCCTCCATGTGGTGGGACTGAATGGCCCAGTTGTTCTTCTTCAGCTTCAGCTGCATTTCAAGGAATATTAAAAAAAGTTATGAGGAAAAAAATTCAGAATTGTTCCAGATGACTCGCTGCCTGTACGATTCAAACTCCAAAAGCCAGACTTAAAGCATTGGCCAGACTTTCTGGTATTAATTCAAAAATGTCAGCTTTGTTTCTGCTGGACAGATTTACCTTTCCTTTCCTCTCACTCCTCTACATCACCTGTTGTACTAGGATTGCCTACTGCGGAAAAAATTCCTACTTGCAGATGCTGACGGGAGATCTGGCAGCAGCAGAGAGGGAGCTGCCTGAAAGGGCCTGGAGTTGTGCCAGGATTCCCCCACTGCCTGCACTGCCCACAGCATGGCATTGGGGCAGGGGCAATGTGTGAGTGGGTGTTGAGGCGTCATTCAGAGGCATGGCTTCATGGCAACTCCAGGTCTTGCAGTCATCTCAGCTCTAGCCTAGAGGAGCTGCATCAGTCAGAAGTGCTCTCATCCATTACAGGGATTAAATCCTGCAAAATCCCACAATTCTTGCAGTGTGAATACAACTTTTTGTTCAGTGAGGTGACGAGGTGCTACCATTAGCCAGGGCATAGCCAAACCTTAAAACCCTGACTAAAACAGTGACAGCCTCTCCAATGCTAAAATATGAGCAAGATTTGCTCACACGTTGCTTTAAACAGAAAAGCAACTAGTTAAAAAAGCCTCAAGTGAAATGTGTCCCAGTTGCTGTTTATTTTTTCTTGCACCTGTCTGGCAGGATGGCTGCTGAGCCACGGAGCAGTTCCTCAGTGGCTCCCAGCACCCAGCTCCTGCAGGGGCAGAGCTGGCTGCACACTCCTTGGCTGGGAGCAGCAGCCCAGTGCAGCCAGGCAAGCTCACCCACAGCCAGCAGCAGTGCAAAGCTGAACTGAGCTCAGAACAAATGGGTTAGGAGAACAGCAAGGCTTGGAAAAGGCATGCATGCAGATCTGAGAAGGTGTATTTCTTATATTTGTGGCTTTAGGAAGTCCAATTTAAATGAACCTCTCAATTCTAAGTGAAAAAAAGCCCCCACATATATTTTTTCTTAGAATACCATATTCTATTATTCTATTCGTTACAGAGATTGCATTTTAATCCCTTTCCACACAGCCCATCAGAAGACAGAGCAGCCTCGCTGGTAGGAATCTTTCCACGGAAATATGAATTTTTTCAGAGGATTTAACACACATACCCTGTCTGGCCAAACCACAGCTCAAAAGTAGTTCCAATGCTTATGAGGGACATCCCCACAAGTACTTTCTAACACTTTGTTTCCTGGCATATGCTTGGGGGATTTAATGGCTGAGGAGCTGGCACTGGGGCACTGCACAAGGTTTACAGAGCTAACTGGCTCTGGCTGCTCTGAGTGTTTGACTCTACAACCCTAAATTATTATAAGCATGCTGCACTTGTACTGCATCCTTCCTGCCCAGACATCCTAGTGAGCCTCTCTCAAGGCAAGGACCAGTGGGACTCCACAAACTCTCCAGCAGGCAGTATTTGGAAAGGATGGCCCACAGTGTTTATATCTTGTTCATCAAGTTTCTGTGCTATCCGTCATCTCTAGCTTGCAGGAGCCTTGCCCAAATGGAGCCTGCCATGACCCTGGGCCGGAATATCCCCAGTCCTACTACAAACTTCCAGACTTTGCTGGACAAATTTGGCCACTATGGGAGCTGCTTGTATGCTGGACTCTGGCTTTCTTCAAATTAGGGTAATCCAGTTGAAAGTCTGAGCATTTAATTATGGCCGTGGTTGTTCTCAGCATGCACAATTCCACCCTTCAGTGGCCACTGTGGGTATCACCTCTCCCTTGGTCTATCTGGAGAGTGACTGCCAAACGTACACCTCTCCCAGACGGTGTCACTGTTAAAAAAGTTAAATGAATGTTCAGCACAACCCACTCAGTGTTTTTTAAACCACTCTTTTTGTGTAAAGGCATAAAGATCTCTCCTCTGTTACAGCTACAGCAAAAATAAAGGAATTGACTGTACTGCTTCATTGTATTTATCTCATGTAAGGCTGACTCAGCAGTGATAGTTCCACCTCCAAGGCTTATTCCTAAAAGGAATCAACTGTATTTGAAATGCAGCTGAAATGTTAACCTAGTTTGACAGTTGAGGGGTCCTGAGTGGTTTACATGTCACAATTTACAGCAATCCACTTAAAAATGAGATGTAAGGGATTTCTAGGGAGAGGTGAGTTGGAGTTTCTATTCCTTGTGATCAGTGAGAGTAGGAACTCCCCCAACACCAGAGGACCTCTCTAGCTGGTGTTTGAAAATGGACAGCAACAGCAGTGAAGTGTGCATAGTGCCCCCCTGGAAGTGCATCTTCATTGCCACCAGGGAGCTGAAACAGGGATCACTGAGGGTTTTGGTAGTTGTTCCTGAACATCTTTACAATATAGGATTTAGTAATGTAGAACCACAGAATGGTTTGTGTTGGAAAGGACCTTAAATGTCATCTAGTTCCAACTCCCCCCTTTCACTAGACCAGGTTGTTCAGAGCCCATCCAACCTGACCTGGAGCACTTCCAGGCATGGGTCATTTACAACTTCTCTGGGCAAGATGTTCCAGTGGCAGACCACAGACACAATCAAGAATTTCTTCCTTATGTTCACTCTAAACCTACCCTCTTTAATTTAAAAAGCATTGTCCCTGTCACTACAGGACATGTTAAAAAGTATTTCTGTCTTTCTTATAAGCCCTCTTTAT